TGAGAGGTTCTAACTCAGTCACCAAATCCTGGGCATCTGTGAAATACAGAAATGGGACAAAAATGTTTCCCATTGCCACAAATTGTTTTTCCTGTGACAGAAATTATATAATGAACTTCTAAACAAATATGAAAGCTTGAAAAAGCTTTTAAATTTCTCTGGTTTCAAAAGCTTAAAAAAGGAAAATTACAGAAGCACCAAACACCCACCACCATCTCAAGTTGTACTATATAGATGTAAGGTTTATAGGTAAAATATCAAGACAAAAAAGAAAAAAAAGAAAAAAAAAATTAGTCTTTGAAACACTGAATCAAACCTTCAAAAACACCCCAAGAAGGCTTGGGAAGCATCACAGTCTGTTCTGAAAACAGTTCAGCAAAACCACTGACATACTGCTTTGGGTCTGTGAATTAAATTCAGCAAATCTTAAGAGCAAATGAAAACCACTGTTGGTGGGAAGAATCTTCTGGTTAATTAATATTTTTATAATTTAGATGTGTTACATTTTCAGAATATGAAGCAATTTAATAATTTCCATATCTATCAATCCAAAGAAGAGCAAACAGAGGAGGTGCTGCTTTCAATAGGAAGTGGAAGAAACCCAAGTTGTTGCAGCCTCACTTGGCTTTTCCACTCCTCCCCTCAATTAGCACTGAATGTGGTTAACCCAATCACTGACATGATCAGGAAACCTATCACTTCAGGGAGGAGAACAATTAAGTTTTGGCCAGATCTGCACCCTCACAGCAAAGGAGGGTAGGACTGCAGCAGCTGAAGTTAACAGTGGTATGAACTGCTTTGGCACTGCACCATACTCCAGAAGGTGATAGAGATGCACTGATAACCTGGCTTTTCAGTGTTGATTGTGTGGTGCAGATGTCCACTGAACTTTATGTTCAAGATCAGACAGAAGTTAATAAACATTTAGGTGGTTAAATTTAATACATGGTGTTTATTGACCTTGAAACATAGACATATACTCGCATATTGCTTGAGTAGCTCAACAATATGCAAGAAGAAATGCAGATGTTGAACACCGGCAAATTTCAGTAGTCCATATCCAATGTAAATCATGTAAGACTCCTTCCATGACCCAGACAAGTCACATACTGAGTAGCTCAATACATGAACTGAACTACTCACATTTTACATAACAGATCAGCTGTATATGTTAGACCAGCAACAGGCATTTTAGGGTTGGGTTCTAGCATCATGACTTATTCAGATGAGAGAGCTGCAAACTGAAGTTATTTCTGAGGATGGTACAGCTCATTAATTTGAAAAAGGTTAGCATGAGGGAAGGGCAATGGCATCAACCTTTTAGAATCAAATCAATAGGCTACATCAAAATTATCTCTGTAGTTTCTTGGCTGTTCCTGTCACACATGTGAAAGCATGAGCCTCAGATTGTTAAAGATGCCTTGAAGTTTGCATCTTAGAAAGTCGGCCTAAAGTGCTTAATAGTACATCGGTATTGAAATTTACAGAAAGAGTAAAAACTTTTCAGAATTTATGTTAGCACAACTCAGTATTTGGAAGAGATAAATAATGAGTTGCATTCTTCCATTTGGGAGCCAACAAAGCTTGCTACAAATTTGGTATCTCTGTTATATCTGACACTTCACTAACACCACTAGCCACAATAGACTCTTGTCAGTTGAGCTAACATGCATTTCAAATTACCAGTGCAAATTTCTGCTATTAATTGGTGCAGGGCAAAGGCATTCAATTGCAAGATGAAGCATCCTCTCCATTGGGAGGCAGAAATCAGAGTTCAATCACTTTATGCTTGAGCTGTTAGAAGTGTAGTGTTGTAACTGCTTCTACAAACTGCTGTCAGTAGAACTGGAGACACTAGCATTCAGACTGTAAGGTCAGTGTAGTTTTCCTGACAGTAGTCACCGCCATATCTGACATTTTACTTCTGAAATAGAATTCTAATGAGATGTCTTTATACCATGTTTAGATGTATGTGATTTTGATAATTTAAGAAAAATAAACTGCATCTATTAGATAACATAGGTATCATGTGCATAATCATTGCACCATGCACAAGATTCCATTCCTTGTTTGATGATTTTGCACTCTGATGTTAGTTTCACATAAGCAGCTTATTTGAAGCATTCCGAATTAACACTGTAGCCAGTAATGGAAAAGGGACTTCTAGATCATCACACATCTGTGAGAAATGCTGTGAAATAGATGTTATCCCAGCTTGGTGCAGGCAACCATAAGGCTTGTTCTCTATGACTTGACTAGTTTGAGCAAGTGATTTACCACAGGTATCATGAACTCACTGCAGTGGCTGAGTCACCCATGACCCCCTTCCACAGGCACTTGCTCAGGCTTCTTTACAGGTTAGACGGTGGTATCTGAGTGAAGATGAGGCTGACTGCCTACATCCAGGATGTTCTAGGGTTAAACTTAACCTGACTTTATCCTGCCTCTTATGGGAGAGGCCATCTTCCCTGTGAAAAGCTGACCCAGAGCCCTTATGATAGGCTGGCCTTCCTTCTGCAGCAGAGTTGTATGGTTCTTCCATTTTTTTCTGGAGTTCTGAACATGCACATTGTTTTGTGATATTACATCAGTATCTATACACAATTTTAAACAATATTTTATTTAAATTCCATGTATATGTTTTGCTGTGAGGTTACAAATTATTCATTGTGCAAAGCAGTCAAACAAATACAGACAAAACAAGTAAATAAGCTACAAATATCTGCAGTATGGTGAAATCAGTTATATCAAAGTACTATCCAGTTACTATTTCAGTGCTAATTCTGTGAAAAGAGACTACAGATGGCAGTTTTCCAATGACTTATGAACCTATTAGCTGAACTACTGACAGGAAGCAAATATCTGCCCTATTATATTCATCATTTTACCAGAATAACAAGTTCTGATGCCAGTCAATCAGTATCGGGAAGGCAAGACTTCTGAGTCAGTGCAGTACTTCCCTATTGTAGATGCATAACCAGAATCAGTATTTATTGAGAAACTGTTCTCAAAAACTTGGCTTGTATGCAACCAGATTATTCAACTTGATTTGTAAAGAATTTAGTAAGTGGCAGTAGTATATTCAGAATATACTTATCAGAGACACCACCTTATCAGAAGAATTAATGAAGCTTCATTTTGAAGTAATAAAAGAATAGTCTTCTTCCAGAAACCCTACTTGTACATGGAGTGCAGAAGTGGATGGCAGGAACAGTCTCAAGTGACCCTAGAAAATAACTGACTTATTGTTTCTATTCATCCTCAGCTTTGTCTTTCAGTTGTTAAATACTTCATGTATTTACAGATGGTGTCCTTAGGCCAGTTACAGATTTTATTTTTATACTACAGATAAATTCTGTAGATGTCATATCAGTAAATAAAAGCACATACCGTAGGATAAAAATCACAATTAACAGCATCATGAGAGGGCATTAACCAGCAAGCACTGGGAAGTGACCCTATAAAGAGGTAGTGATGCCACCTTATAATTAAGTCATGAATCTCGGGATGTTTGATTAACCTTCCAGTTTTGAGCCATATTAGCCTACCAAGAATAGGCTCTTCTGTATAACTGTAGCTTCTAACCTCACACACTTTGCATATGTAAAAATGTGTTACAAAGGCCAAAATGGCAGATTTCTAATAAAAAGATTTCTTTCTGATCTCATGTCTATGAATCCTTGGACAATGATCTGATTTCAGCCAGCTAGAATAAAAATAATAAAACCTGATATTAATAAGGATAATTGTTTAAATGTGAAGATTTCCACAAAGTTGCAAAACATTCTAACAAAAATTTTATTTAAATACTCACTTTATACTTTTCAGAGTGCAATGAAAATATCAGAACAAGATCTCACTTTCTGACTAGCTAGAATTCCTGCTTTTTCCTGGCTTATTCTTGTTCCCAGCTCTACGAATATGCAGCAAACAGCAATTTTCAAGCTATAGAAAAGTATCTACAACATTGCCTGGTCATCTCTACCTGAAAGCAAGAGACCTGCCTGCACCCTTCAGTAACTCTCCACTTGCCCTGTATCCCTGGCAGTGTTCAAAAACAACTTTAATACTGCAGGATGGATCCCTAAAGCTAGTGGAAGGCATGAAATCTGAATTGAAATAGCCATATTTAGTGTGTGCTCACAGCTCAGAAACCAACTATATATTGGGCTGCATCAAAAGAAGTGTGACCAGCAGGTCGAAGGAGGTGATCCTGCCCTTCTGCTCTGCTCTGCTCTTGTGAGACCCCATGTGGAGCCCGGTGTGCAGTTCTGGTGTCCTCAACATAAGAAGGGCATGGAGCTGTTGGAACAAGTCCAGAGGAGGGCCACGAGGATGATCAAGGGACTGGAGCACCTCCCCTATGAAGACAGGCTGAGAAAGTTGGGGCTGTTCAGCCCAGAGAAGAGAAGGCTGCGTGGAGACCTCATAGCAGCCTTCCAGTATCTGAAGGGGGTCTATAGGGATGCTGGAGAGGGACCCTTCATCAGGGGCTGTAGCAATAGGACAAGGGATAATGGGTCCAAACTTAAACAGAGGAAGTTCAAGTTAGATACAAGGAAGAAGTTCTTTTCTGTAAGGGTGGTGAGGCACTGGAACAGGTTGCCCAAAGAACTGGTAAATGCTCCATCCCTGGCAGCGTTCAAGGCCAGGCTGGACAGAGCCTTGGGCAACATGGTCTAGAGTGAGGTGTCATGGCAGGGGGGCTGGAACTAGATGATTTTAAGGTCCTTTCCAACCCAAATCATTCTATGATTCTATGATTCTATGTTATCCATCTTGTCATTTTAAAAAACAAAACCAAACTAAAAACAAAAAAAAAAAAACAAACCTGCCTCCCAAAACCCCCACTCTTCTACATATACCAGAGGGTGGTCTTTTCTGACTAAGCCTTTAACTGATGATGAAAGGTGTATGATTTAATAAGCAATATCTGAAAACATCTCAGCACACTGTCAATCATGCTCTCTAGTTCTTGTGCGGAACCACTGACTCTGGAATCCAGCATGTGTTAGAGTATTTATTCATTAGATGTGAATACTTTCCATTAACAATGTTAGTCCTGGTTTAGCCAGGATGACATAGAAGTTATCACTTTAAAATCCAAATACTTTTGCAACAGCATTTAAAAACTTTCAAGTATGCAGGCAAATTTAAAGAAATGATAGTAAAAAATTTAGCATAGCTTTACATTAACAAAATCCCCAAAAGATAACTAGTTGCATTCCAAATTCCTCCATATATCTCTCTCAAGGGTCCATAAGTCTCACAATTCATAATACAGTATTAAATGTGATATAGCTACAAATGTCAGACTCAAAGGCTGTGCCACAGAAGAAAATCCAAAGGACCTGACTTCCTGAGGCTGATGATTATGTAGGTCTAGGCGACAGGAGTTTTGTACTTCTTGTGGAGTTTCACTTTCACCTACATCCATTAGTCTGCTACGGTTCCTCACCTAGAAAAGTTCAAAAGATTGCCCCTGAAAGCCAGACTGACACAATAGGAAAAAGCATTATGCAGCTAGCAAATTCAATGCTGTTTCAAGCTGAATCAACTTGAACGGTATTGCAAAACCACATCCGAATGTGAGGAAATCAACATAATTATTCTGATGTTTGCATTCTTATGAAACACTTCCCAGAATTCAGTACAGACACATTACAGGCAAGAGTCACAGATGTGGTTGTTCTTTGTCTTTGCTCCATCCACATATGAATGCATTAGCTGGAAAACCTTGAGCAAACAAACTCATCATTTTTCTTCCCTGAAGTCTGCTCAGTCTCAAAAGAGAGCTTCAAACATCTCTAATTTAGAAGGAAAAAAAATTAATCTCACAGATTAGGCTAGGTGTGATGAATTCCAGCCTCCTCATAATGTCAGACTGCCACACGTGCAACTCAGCATCAGCTAGATATTTTGGCAGATTAACTGCAACGGTACAGAATTCCCTGATTTCTGTTCATCTAACATGCCCCCAAGGCATTTTTTTACTGGAACAAGTATCACTGTGAAATATATGTTGTATATAAGGTTTTGTGTATAATATCTACTTACTTATAAATAAAAACAGTAGGAGACAAGCAGTTTGTGAGTTTCAGCAGATGCTTTTGAAACAGTTACCATTTAGGGGGTCCTTACTCTCATACAGTCTCTCCCTTTGCTCCTCCCTCTCCCTTCTGGATTAGCATTTAACATTTACACATAAAGCTTGTGATCTAGTTGTTATGTTTATGCTTGTTAGTGATCTGGTCATGGCAGAAGCCTTTTGGATAGCAGCAAGATCCCATGACAGGAATTAAATTGATTTGCAAGAGACAGCATTCCTTACTGCACCAGCAAGCACAGCCAGACTGTGACGCTGGTACGTCTACAGTTCCTCCAAACCATGAAGTGATTCTATTGAGAAGTCAGTGATGTGTACTTATCAGATTACCACACGGAGGAAAAGTTCTAAAGAGCTTTGTCCACTCTCACTTTCCTTTATTCTGCTAACACTCTCTTGCCATCTCGGGTTCTTTCCCAGCATTTGTAGTTATTGCATTAAGTGCTTACGTTCCCTCATAGCTCTCTCATGGTGGGGTGGAGTGAGCAGCAAGGTTCTCTCTCCCTTTTAGTAAGAATCAAGATTCAGTTTTGGTTTTAATCTTACATTTTCCACTTCTCTGAAGACACGGAGGAAGTTCTCCCTTAAGACTCCTTTCAGTTCAGTTTCGTTCCATCCTCTTCTAAGAAGTTCCTCAATCAAAGAAGGGTATTTAGAAACGTCTTCCAATCCCTCAGGGAAACTGTTGGCAAGAGTCACACAAGAACATTCAGCGCACATATCATTGAAAAACATGCAGAAAAATACTTTTAATTAGTCTTTTTCGTGTATTTCTATTTGGAGTGAGCTCACTTTAGAACCAGTGCTTCCTCTGAGAAGTTAAAGAAATAATTAAGAATTCAACTGACAAACAGAATCAGGGCTGGGACACAATTAAAGGCTTTTTCTGCACAGATGATCACTTAAACAGAACACAACTGGGTATTCTGGAATTAAGATGCACTTGTGTATAGGTAAAACAATAGTATGGAGCATATTAAAACAAAAAAGTGCAAAACACAAAACCAAATTCATGTATGCAGTAACCCATTCTTTATCTGACCTTTAGAGTAAGAAACAGCTGCATCACAGATGGAGTTGGTACAATCCACTCGTGCAACTGAGACCAAGAGAGAACCTCCTAACACATGATGAACTAAGGAGTTGCAGGCAATCCTATGTACTCTTTTGTTTACAGTCATTTTCCCAAAGAACATATAATTAGAATAATAACATTGTTTTGAATTGAGCAGTTTAGGCAGTGAAACAAAAGCTGTTCAGAATTCTCTACTGAAGAAATTACAGTAAGCAAAATTGACCTGTGTCTTGTGCTAATTCTTATCAAAATAAAAAAAGGAATTAGAAGCTGAAAACCTGCATTTAAAAGATGTTTTTAAATTGTATTTCCATGAATCTTTGACTTTGTTTTGAGATAACTAATATTTTCTGTTATTCTTCTTTTCTGTGGAGATGTGGTGATAAGCATATCTCAAGAAATCTGTGCCATTACTTTCTACCAGGATTTAGGACCAATCAAAGTGATGGTCTGTCTCTGCAAAAATGCATGCAATAAAATGTGTCTTTTCGTTGCAAACTGTGGCTTTATTTTGGAGATTATAATTTCAGAGTTATGATTAGCTAAGACTCATGTGAGCTGACACAGTTTTTGTGATCCTGCTTTACAGATGTGAGTCTGATTGTGAATTTCATACCAAAGTGTGTCTGACCTCAGGGAGGGGGCAGGGGAAAGAAGATTCAACAGAAAGATAAAAGGCAAAAATAGGCCAGCAAATGCCACCTAATCTGCATTTATTTCCTGTGCTGTAACAACACTAGCTCAAGAGCAAGTAGGAGAGGTTATATTGTAAGCTGTCCTCCGTGCTCTGCTTGTCTCAAACACTTTTCAAGCCTCAAAAGCAGGAATCAATTCACACGTTGGGCTTTCCCCACTAGAAAGTAATAGTGGAGGGAAGAGTGGTGCATCATCTTCTTAGGCTAACCTATCAACCATGTAAAGCCTGAGGCATTCTGTTAATAATCTTTGGCTTCCCAGAGGAAATCACTCTCTTGCTGTTTTTGTATGTGTAAACCACTGCCTAGAACTCACAATTGCAGAGTTCAGAGAGTATTGGAATCTGTTTCCACATTTGTAGCACTGCTTCATACAGTTCTACAATTCAATTGTTGTGCCTTGTTTTCATAAAAGTTGGTTTAGTGCTCCTCATAAGACAACTTGCTGTAACTCTTCAAGGCCAGGCTGGATGGGCCTTTGAGCATGCTGTCCCTGTCTATGTCAGAGGGTTGGACCTAGATGAGCTTTAAGGTCTCTTCCAACCCAAACTATTCTATGATCTCTTAATGTACCTTCTTTTTTCCCTAAAAGGACTTAAAACCTTCCTAATTTAAGGAGCAGATATCAATATATGTGCAATTTTACTAACCGTTCTACTCCATCATAGTCACCACCAATTCCTATCGATTCTGAACCTGCAATTTTCTTTATGTGGTCAAAATGATCTGAAACAAAATGTCAAAGACAACAATATCTAAGCATCCAGCAAGAAGTAGTTCAGACATATTGGCACTAGATGACTTTTCTCTTGAATCATGGGTTCTTAACCAAATCATGTTAATAAAAAGCCAAAAGACATCCTGATAATACAAACTAAAATTTAATAATGCAGTTGATGTATTTTACTATTGCTTAACTAGATGTTATCTGTTATTATGGACATCAAGTAGCAGTCTTCAAAAATAAAAGCTACACTGATGAGATAGATACAAATGAGGAAAAAGACATGATCATCACAGCACATTATTTTCCAACAAGTACCCCACATATACAAACAGATTTTTCATTACCCGTGACATACCTATGTTTTCCACTCCTAATTACAAAGGTTTCAGACCTAAGAAGACAACAGCTTCTTTGGGGTTAATGGTTCTTGGCTCCATTTGGGAGCATCATGTCCTCCAGCTACACACTTTGTACCTCTTGTTACTGTTTAATGAATATTAGCTTCAAAATTACCTAGAGCTGGGGTAAGGTGTAGAAGGGAATAAACAGGCACTAAAATTTACGCTGTCTCAAAAATGACACAGACACCAGGAAATTCATAGAAGCCACCCACAAAAACTTCAGTATATTAACTTCAAACCTGCAAGGATAGAAACATTAACAGCTTTTCTGCCACAGGCCAGTACATCTGCATTGAAAGTCACCATGATAATTCCCTTGTTCTTTTTCTGAAAGATACGAAGAGACAGGTAGTGAATGGAAAATTGTGTTTCCTGCAAATCTCATGTAGAGACTTCTCCATCCACCCCCCCACCCACCCACCCATCCGTCCGTCCATCCATCCATCCATCCATCCATCCATCCATCCGTCCGTAAGCAAAATAACACTCTGTAAAAATCAAAGCTCAGATGGCAACACAAGGCTTTGCTCTCTGTCCTTTACCCTGGATTCATTATATTTGCATGTAGTCTGAATCAGCAGAAGTCCAGACCATGTCAAACAAACTCAACCAGGAACTCAAAGTATTTGTAAACACTTCATTTTTTGTAGCCAAAGAAAATACACAACCCAAATAAAATGTCTCAAGAAGCAAACATGTAATTTGCTGCTTAGGTTTTTGCTTGTAAATCCAATTCAGATACAAGAAAGTGAAAAGTAAGCACCATGACTTGAATGTGCAAGTTTGCCTCAGACCACTAAAACAAACAAAATAAATAAATCCCCAAATCAACAAATCCAAACACTTTCCCAAAACAAAACAAAAACTACACTACACACACACACACAAACCCAACCCAACGAACCAAAAAACCCCCCACCATACTGCTTACCACTTTCTGGAGGATATCATCAGGAACATTTCTTGAGTGATTACAAACAGAAAACGCTGAGGAATGGCTAAAAATTACTGGCGCTTTTGAGATACTCAGTGCAGCTTTAGCTGTCATATCTGAAGTATGAGATAAATCTACCAGCATACCCAGACGATTCATCTCCTTTACCACTTCCTAAAACAGACAAGAGTGTCAGTATTAAATTTCCTTAAAGGAAACAGTTTAGCTGATATATATAAACAGATAAATAAATACTGGAGCTGTCAGCTAGTCATAAATACTCTGTGCCTGTATGGATTTCTGTTTACCTATGAATTGAACAGTAGTTTATTCACTCACAATTAACTAGCACACAACCACCGCTCAAAATTTAGAAAATTCAGTCAATCTGTAAGTCATTTCAACCGTTATTCATATCCCACTACTTCCACATATTCATACATCTGATCTGTATTTAAAAAAATGTTAAATTTAAATATAGCACTTCTTTTACCCTAAAGAACATCTAGGGAATTTGGTTTGACTGAACCCTGAATAACCCCTAACTATCAAAAACTTCCAGTAATTAAGAAGTTACTTTTAAAAAAATAAGGCCAGAAGTTCATAGCTGCATGAGAGATTGCTTAGATTAACATTTTTGAAAGAGATCCTTACTTGGCCAAATGCAGTCAGACCGTTAACATTGGGGTAAAAGTTGTGCATTCCTTTAGATGATGATTCAGACCTTGGAAGGCGGGAGTGAGGAAAGAGAAATATCATATTATTCTGGAGACCCCAATATCAGCACCTGAAAATTCTTATGCTACACACAATAAAAATCATTAGCATGTTCCATAGCCAAATGTAGGGATAATGAGCTACATAATAGCTGTCTTGTTCACAACTGGTTTTGTTTTCTGGACATCATGCCTTTATGTTCAGAACTGTTGCACGTTTGTGAAGCAATGCAAGACAAGCAAAGAGATGCTTGTAAAAATTTTTCTGATTAAACAAGCATCAGGGAGCAAAGATAAACTGAAATGTCACTGACCTGCCAGCCAGAAAACCTGCTTTTCAGCCCTCTCTGCACATAATTCTCCTTTCTCTGAGTCAGTACAAGAAGAAATTTTGCCAATCCAGCAAGGAGTAGGTGCTAATATTCTGATACAGAACTAAATACCCATCTCTGATGCTGCACATGGGACCTGCACTTTTGAGCTGGCCAGAGAGGACAGTGTTGAAGGCTGCTGACCTCTTACCTATATCTTATGCATTTTTAGTACTTTTTTTCCTTTTTTTTTCCCTAGGTAGCTTTCCTAATAAAGCAAAGGAGATAGCACATTTACCATCTTTGTGCCATTAACAAGGGTTAAAAGTTCCCAAATTATCAGCATAACAAGCACTACATAACGGATCCTTCAATCTCCCACTTGACGAATGGCAAGTAATTTATCCCAAGCCCTATCATCCTTGATTTGGTTCAGAGTCTTTCACAGGTGAACTCTGTGTCTGTATACACCTTTTCCCCACCTTGAAAAATGCCACCACTTTGCATTAGATGTGCACACAAAAACATGACAATAGTTACCAAGGTGTATTGCAGGAATGTGTTAAAGACATGTAACGAACACCAAGGTCATAATACATCCTCAGTGTTGCCAGACTGCTGTCAATGGAGTGACCACCTTCTATGCCAATCAAACACGCAATCCTTCTACTGTCAGAGATACCTGGAAACAACAAAAGAAGATAATTCGAAAGTAATTTCATAACAGATAAGAAACAAGCAGCACAAAGTGACAGTTGATATTGTAAATTGCAAGCACTAATATTGACATTGCATAGAACAGGAGCTTATACTACTGCATGTTTATATGTCAAATTTTCTTACGACTGCAGTGGGCTACAGCTGTGCACAGTCAGTTATTGTGGTTCAATGGAAAAAAACAAAGGTAAAGTTACTCTTTAATGCAGGATAACTTGCCTGCATGCAGCTGTGTGTTTTGCACGTAACTCCTACAACCCCATTTAAAACATTTCTGATATAAGAAAGAGTGTAACCTTGGGAAGTTGTCACAAGTTCAAGCTCTTCGTAGCTGTTGCACATCCTCTTGACAACATCAATTTGCTCTAAGGTCAGACGCACAGCATCCTTGTTCTGAGCGCTGCAAAGAACATACACTGACCAAAACTGAAAGAGACGTTGACAAATAAACAAGATAACTTGTGTTTCAACTTGGAAAATTTCAATTGCTAATAGTGCAGCTCATGAGCACAGACCAGAATAATTTCCTACAGTTTACACGGGAGTTGCCACTACAATTTTTCCCCAAAAAGAAGAGTTAGGATATAAGGCAAGAGCATCTGCTCCAGACATGATTAAAGCCTCCTGACATACTCAGCTGCTCCACAGTACACACACAAGTTTAATTTGCTTATCACTAAACAAAGACCACTGTTTTGGATAAGGGTACCCAGATTATAAAACACAAACTTCTGAAACACAGATATTGTGGAAAACTGTCTGTGGCTTTTCATTTTCGTAATTCTCTCTTTTTCAATAGAAATAGGTAAAACCCAAGGCCCAGAGTATGTTTGTGATTGAGAAGGAGGCAAATGTAAAAATATGTTCTCAAATTCACAACCATGGCAGTACATACCTGAGCTCCCACAAAACCAGCTTGAAGTTTTGCAAGGTTTGTGTGGGTCTTGTTGAGTTCTCTTAGGTTGACTGTACTGAGTCTGTTTTGGTAAAATATTCTCAGCCGCAGTACCAAGTCATTGTGGCTAGAATTGAAAACAAACAGAGCTTGCAATAGAAATAACTTGTTCCCCTTTCTAATACAAATGTAATTTCTTCCACTCTTCATAGTCCCTTAGACCATCCATTTGCAATAATCCTTGCAGTAATATATGCTTAAAAGTCTCCTTTCTTTTGCAAACAAGCTTTATTTCTTAATTAGGACAGCTAGTAATTTTATTTCGCTTCTTCCGTTTTCATAGCTATTGTGTTTCTGTACCTACTTTTCTCCCTGTCATTGCTGAAGGAGTGGAAGAATTTAAATCAGCCACCATGCTTCTTGGAAATAAGTACTTGTGGCAGAATAATCAGTGCTGCCTTTGTCAGAAGAATGAGCATTTGTGTTCCCAGGTCAAAATACAGTTACCACAGACATCACTCTTTCAGGTTTTAAGAGTACCCTCTTAAAGTATAATGCCTGCTTTCTAGCTTTGTACAGAAATGGTTGCTACTGAAAGGTGCCATTAAATTACGGGAAGGAGACAAGGACATTACATTAAAGGGAAATAATAACTAAGTGGTGAAACAGGATGTTCTAGGATAGAGCTAATTTTCTTCATAGTGATTGATATGGGGCTATATTTTTGATTTCTGCTGAAAACACAACACTGATAATTGAGGAATGTTTCGGAATTGCCAAGCAGTGCTTACACAGAGTCAATGCCTTTTCTGCTCCTTACCCTCCTCCACCAGAGATTAGGCTAGGGGTGCAAAAGAACCTGGGAGGGGACACAGCCAGGACAGCTGACCTCAGCTGACCCAAAGGATATTCCTACCATATGATGTCATGTTCAGCATACAAATCTGGGAAAGGAGGAGGAAGGGGGTACATGATGGCATTTTTCTTCCCAAGTAACTGTTCTGCGTGATGGAGCCTTTCTTTCCTGGAGATGGCTGAAAACCTGCCTGAACATGACAAATGGTGAATGAATTCCTTTTTCCACATTGTTTGTGCATATGGCTTTTGCTTTACCTATGAAATTGTTTTTATCTCAACCAACACATTTTTTCACCTACACCCTTCTGATTCTCTCCCCCATCCCACCATGGTGGAGTGAGCAAGTGGCTGTGGAGGGCTCAGTTACTGGCTGGGGTTAAACCACAACACCTGATCAGAACATCACAAATGCATTTAGCACAACCTGATCCTATAAGTAAGTACCATTTGAACCGATACTCCTTCCTGATAAATCGCTGCAACAGTAACTGACTGCTCTATAGGTGCTAGTAACAGCCTATGTCTCTACTATTGCAAACACATGCTCGCATTCCCTTCTCACTTGTCAGATTCACAGAGGGTTTAATTTAATGTATTTTATATACCCATCGATCAAACGTGCATCTTGCATCAGCTCGATAGTTTTCTCTCGCAGTGATTTCTCATAGCTGAATAGCACAATATCCGAGAACATCAAGAGCCACAGCAGCTTTGTTGTATTTCTCTTCATTTCCATTTTCCAGTTTGCTAAAGCGAAGAGATAACACCATTATTCTCTAAGGAAAATGAAACAGCAAAATTTCCAGTCTGTGGAGGCTGTAGGCTTAATGCCTCTCCTTCTGGTAAGGCTCAGGTGAATTTGGCAGGAGGATAGAAAGAAAGAAAAAAAGGAGAATAGTACACAGAAGGGAAGGTAGCAGCAGAAACCGTAAACCAGCTACCTTCTCCCAAAGATTTTAAGGTCTCTGGCTATTGTGATTTTGCACATGTGAACGCCCTTTAAATTCTGCTGCTGCCACCCGCTGACTGCTGAAGGGAACTAACTCCTCAGTCAGACCTGGCAGGGTGAGTGAGCCAGGCAGACCACGGATTCACACCTCCCAAAAAGCAGCTCCCAAAACAGGGTAACGCGTTAGTTTTCTCATTAGCCATTTTATTCTCCTTATGTGGGAAACCTCACACTGAAATGAACGCTGAAACCGTTTTTGAGAAATTGAAAAGTCAGGTGCTTCTGAGTAAATTGTATTGTTAAAACACACTGCCTGTCAGAGTATTTTCAGAGGAAAGCTATTGAAATCCAACACTTTTTCACACCTTAGGAAGGACAGTGTGTGCCAGACTTGAAAGGGTCACTTTATTTCCATGAGGAAATGGGCACGACAGACTTGGAGAGTAAGGCAAGCAGCCCCTGCTCTTTTGTAAAATCAGTCAGTAAGGTTTATAAACATAAACTTTCTTCTGGCAACACAAAAGTTTGTTTTTACTAATAAAGGATGTTGGGTTTATGTAATAATTCTCTTCAGAGGTAAAAACAAATAGCAAATAGCCAAAATGTTGTAAAATTACAAGGCAAATTCACCTTGCCTGCACGCTTGCCTTCTCTTGTCTTTAAGCTGATTTTCTAAAACAGCAGCAGGTATACATAAACCCAGGAAATGGTTTCCTGATATAAAGCCACATATTCATTTATGAAGTGAGAGATACCTCAGGGGAGATTCATGGGTAATGGTGGTATTCGAAGCAAATTCAAGTCACGCTGAGCAGATTGCCTATTGATGGCACCCTGTTCTAAACACATTTCTTTCTGCCCCTTACAAGAACATTTTTATTAGAATAACCAAAGCCAAAATAAGAGTAGGCCTGTAATCAGGATATTGGAAAGCAACAAAGTGAAAACCATATTATTAAAATTCTTGTATTTCCAGCCTATATACTAAATCATTTTCTTATCACCTGCAATATGCAGGGTGTAAATCAAAGGAAAAGTTAAGTGGCTTACTTGCCCTGCAGATGCCTGATAAAATGTAAATGAGTTTGAAAAGGACTATTTAATGCACCAGTATGAGTTTAATTAAGCTGTTCAATTAAGATGTTTTAAAATAAAAATTAATCCATTTTGCATGCATTTTATCTCTAAACCAAAATAAAGTAAAAGTTAGGTGGAGGAATTTTTTGAGTTTTTGGGTTTTTTTGTTTGGTTTTTTCCTTAAGAAATTACCTCCCAACTTGGGTTTAGAAAGGTGCAAACTGCTATTCTAACAAAATCCTTTAACTTGGACAAAAATTCCTAAGGTCTGTCTTTTGAGAAACTGGCTCAGGCCTTTTCTGTTTTGCAAGATTTGGGAATGCATTAAATTGTGGGACCATCTGGCAGGAAGTAATTTTGAACTGTGGGAACAGACAAGCTTATACAAAAGGCAGCGTAGATGGAGAAGCAGGCTTAAAATCAGCCCAGAAATGGTCTCAGAAAGAAGCTCTAGGAGAGCTGCATAAACACAGTAGTATGCAGGCACAGATGGAGATCCAATATAAATATGATACCAGGGGAGCTGTGACACTACCAAAGGAAAATTAATAAGCCTCACCCCTTAATGTTTCCTACAAGGAAAACATAACGTAAGCAATAGCATAGAGAGTATTTGTGAAGTAGAGAGATCTAATCCGACATAAAGTACTCTAGAAATAGATTTGTCCTTCAAGGATGGTTGGCAGTCTGTGTTCTCATTCATGAATAAACATAACAGAAATGACTGACTGAAAGTTTCTTCTCATGTGTACAAAACTTAAGGATTTTTGGCTCAGCCCTTAGGACAATTCCCTTGGGAATCTATTTATATCAGAAGTCTATGCATCTGAGTTTTCTCATGGGAAGGGTTTCCTCCAGACCCACCCACTTCCCCTGACCTTGGAATAAGGACAAGACTTCCCAAGACTGGGATGATACTCTCAGATTGTCCTTCACCAGAGCACAGCTGATTCCCTTGTGGCACTAATTTGTATAGGGTTTGTACCATAGCTGACAGAAGGTCTTATTCCTCTCATATCTGCACAATAATCAAGAGAACCTTTTTGACTGATTGCCAGGGAATTTTTCTGCTTGTGTCCATTGCCACAGCTTTATACTTGTATACAAGGAAAAATTTATTTTCAGGGTCATTTTCTATCAGTTTGTTTGTAATGCTACCTTTAACAGAAAAATACTTGAATGATCACTGGAAACAACAGAGATGTGCCAATGCTGAGCAAGTTGACCTCTGCTATTACTTTAACTCAAAGAGATTGAATATTTATAGATTATGTATTTGGGGAAGAAAATAAGGCAGGTCGCAGATATGTCGGCTTAAACATTATGATTAGGTACAGCAACATCCATGTTCGAAATATGAGCCCTGTGTGCTACAATGACCTGGTATTTTATTTCCTTCTGTTACTTGTTCTCAGTAAAATTCTTTTATGCAAGAGGGCACGTTCCAAAAGGAAAAGATAATCAGAATCCTATTGGAATCTACATGCATTTAAATCTGCAGCAGTTTGCTTACTGTTGATTCATTTCAATTAACCTCATGCAGAGAACTGGAAGACACTATGCAGTGGGAATATAAAGTAAACCAGGCCCAAAGGCCTGTTATTTCTCTTGTGAGACTCCTCACTCCCTGCCCTGGGGTACATAAAGCAAAGCACACCATTAGTCCCACTTCTTCCTTTCAGCTCCCTTCCAGCTACACAGCACAGGGTTGCAACATTCAGACACACAGCATGGAAGAGATAAAGAGTGAAGTCAATCGTATTTTTCACTTTACACTTCAGAGCCAAAATATCTTTTACGTATTTACCTTCATATCTACCTCTCTTATTGAGAGCATAACTGCTTTTCATCCCCATCATACCCCTGCACACACCGCAATTTTAGGGCATCAAGCTTAGAAAAGCCATCAGCCCACAGCCCAAAATAAAAAATTACAGTCCCTGGAAAGCTAAATGGGCACAGAGTGAGTCTTTGCAGACACACACTACAGAAACAAAGCTTTAATTCATACTAGCTAACTTTTACCATTGGTTTATGTTCTTCAAGATCTTAACAGCAGGAAGTTGCTACCAATAAAACATAAATGCTGTGTATACTACATTGAGTGTTCCCACATCAGGAAGGACAGAGCTATAATGAAACGGAATGGTCATATGTGCCATATAAGGATGCAACAGTTTGCTGTTTTAAAATAGACGCATTTTAATGGAAACTTTTACAGTAAAAAAAAGTTTTTCTGCATGCTTCTGTCATTTACCATCTTCGGAAGTATGGGCAAGCTTCCTGGCCCCTCTTCTCCTTTCCAGCATGCAGGCCAGACCTCAGTGCAGAAGGTTCAGTAAACTGCTGTTATTCAAGTGCAGCAAATCTCAGTTAGGAATGGCATTCCTTTCATCTCATCTGAAGTCCTTATCTTCCTTCTTATTCTTTATTAAAACACTTCATGGCATACTCAAATTTGTTGAATTATTGTGCCAAATCAAACACATAAAGTGCAATAAATCAGAGCTCACAGCTCATGTTAGCAACATATCCTGAAAAGCTAAGAAGGTTCACTCCCTCACACAGTCCAGTTATGCTGAGATCTCATGCAGATATTCCTCGTGTAGCTCTGAATTAACTACCGCACATCATAGCTTAATTGCCATAGCATTGGCAACACAAGGTGACCAGGACCCTAAGTAAAGTTTTCCTTGCTGACCTAGTCCTTAAGTAATAAGCATAGTTAGTAACACATAAATATTAAGTATATTTTAGGAGCAGAACACATGCATCATACTATGAAGTATGTTTTTCAGAAAAGATACCGACCCCTTTGAAAGTCATCTTGTCAACGAAATAGTCTTTCAAATCTGTCTCGAATCTTGCTTGAAATTCCTTCCACCATCACCAGCCCTGAATCATGCCAGGTTTATTTTCCTCTGCTTAGAAACCTCCTGTTAAATTTATAGCTTAAAACAGGACTAAAAAGGAATAAACACAGTAATGGTGGGAAAGACATTTCAGGATCTCTAGGAAAGAGAAAGCAACAAGTAGGATAGCTTGTCTCAAACTCCCTGGGAAAGGGGAACTCAGTAAAGGCAATTACAGTACTTTTATGTAAAGTCATTCTTAGCTTTCAGCCTTGAGTTTCGATGCATCCTTGGATAGTCCATATGCTATCCACCATGCATGTAGTTTTTCACCTGCAAGTTTTTCAGATGCAGGATAACCTCAGTGAGGAAGATTTCTTTGCAACTTCTTTGTATAGGAGATTCATTGTTTCTCCTTTAAAACAATTCCATAACAAATGTTATTATAACACATAAAAATTACGTAATTTTTTTTAAGAAAAGAACAACTACTGATCTTTTTTTCTGTTGGTTCTCATCCTTTACTTCACCATGGTTTTTCCTGTCCACATATTTTTAGAGTTTCTGACAAATTCAAATTGCTGAATCTGGTAAGTTTGAAGTAAAGAGAATCTGCTAATGCTACACATTTTTATTTTTTTTTAATCTAATTGCTAATGATGAGGACTATTTTCTTAGAAAACTTATCAAAAGCCTTTTAACTTCAAGATAGATACACTTTATGGCATAATTTCACAAAAGCAGAACAAACCAGAACAGCCTGACCGCTACTTCTATAGCACTGTAGCAGATCATATTTTATCAGACAGAACTGTGTCAAGCTTAAGAGTGCTGACCTCAGCAAAGGGCTGGCCAGGAGTGTTTGATGCAGGGAGTCAGCTGGCTTCTTTGCTAGTGTGCAGCCTCCCCTTTCTCAGATCTGATGATACGGCTTACCTGGAACACAAACCAGAAACCACTGAATAGCACGAATAGACTTCAGCAAACAACTACTCCAGGGTTCCCCTCTGCAAACATACTCTCTACTGTATGGACCACAACAGGTTTCAAAGCTGTAGACAGCAGATTATATGAAAGGAATGCTTTTCCTCCCAGCCACCCCATTTGAGCCCGCCGCCCCAAGGTCCTGTCCCTTGTTTAACGTGCTTTTCTGCATGCCAGGGTCAGTGCAAGCTGTGCCCCCTCCAGCACCTACCCCTGACAAACTCATTCATTTTGGCAGGGTTTTGCCTGGTTTCAAAATACTTCTATTATTCTGGAAATGTCTTGATTCTGAGTATTAACAGTCAAGTTTTACCAAAATGCATGCAGCCTGTGGAAATACTGCTCTTACAGGAAGTTGCTGTTACAGGAGGTAACAAAGTTCACTTCAGCAAAAGAAGGCCTACTTAACTACTTGTGCCACAGAGGAGTTTACTTGCCTCTCCCTCAGAGCTGTGTTAAGCAGCATACTCAACTAAGAACGCTCAGTAGAGATGGTCATGAGCAGTTCTAAAAAGAGATTATTTTCAAAACACACCATAGCCTGCCTTTTTTTTTTTTTTTTCCCCTTTTCCTTCTTTGTGCTGCCCATGTTTTTCCAATCTGAAAGAGAGCAATTTGTTTTCTTCTGGTCATGGCATGCACATGAAAGATTCCAAGGAACAGCAATTCCTGGAAACACAGTGATCCTTGAAATCCTTCCTCAGATGGGAGTGCAGTCTTGGAGAATAAGATTTTCTTTTATAAACATGCATCAGAAATATATGTGCATTTACGATCCCAAAACTTCAGTGAAACAGCACTTCTACAGAACTGTAAAGGACAGATATCAACCAGAAGTTGGGGATTTTTCTGCTTCATGCAACTGTAGAGATTTCTTTCAAATGTGGAAGCAGAAATACAAACTTCCCTTCTTACCATAGACTTTGTTATCACAGTGAAAAAAATCCTTGTATCTCCAATCTAGAAAATGCCAAATTTGGTCATGCCTGCTCAGCATGCAAAATGTCAAAAATGAAAAGCCAAAAAATAGCCCAAGCAGCAGAATTCTTGCAAGCTGGCAACACAAACTAGTTTCTGCAGGCAATTTTTGGTTTCAAATTCCTCAAACCAAAAATACAGATTAGATGTGCAACCTGTAGAACTCTGCCAGACCCTGATAAACTCACTTTAAAGGGAACGCTAAGATTGTGACATTGTGCAGTATAACTACTATTCCAGAAATCCACATCATATGTCAGTTCAAAATACTTAATAAGAAAGTAACAAAATAACACTGTTCTGATGGTATAAAAACTGCTGCACATTATAAATTTTGGTCCAAATATTTATTATTTTTCTATCAATATGAAGTCTATAGTGATTTTTGGGAAGATTTTTACAAAATTCTATTCCTGGTAGCTACAAGAGTTCCCTATAGATTTGTTATATAAAAGCACTTTCAAAGTTTCATGCAAAATATTCTTTATAGTTTGACAGTTAGACTCATTTGCCTTTGAAACTTAGGTAAAAGTGTTTAGGTAAAAAAAGACTCTTAAGTGTATCATCATTCAGAAATCAATTCTTGAAAACTGGAATATTGCAAACCACACAAAATAAAGAACACGGCATATTAGGCACCCCTATTTAAACACCATTTAAAATACAAAACCCACACAGCTTTTTCCATGATGACTGATGAGCAGAGTTGAAAAGTAAAGTTGACGTGACATTTATAGCTTTTTCTTGTTTATCTAAAGGCTCCTTGGAGCAGGTTACCTTCTTAGGAAAGTGCTGCAGTCAAAATCCACATTCCACTGCGTTGGATGCAACAGCTAAGCTTGGCACCAGGGCCTCCTCGCATCAGAGTGGCAACCAAGAAACATCCTCTAGTTGTCTAGTTCACATATTACAGGCTTCTACACTCAACAGGCATTTGGAGAGTGCCCCTTTCAGAGATACAAAGTCTGAGAAAGTTTTGGCTCAGCCCACACAGGGAACCACAGACTTGTGTGCTCGAGCCCAGCACTTCCTCCCTCTTGCGGCAGGCTGCTTGTGCAATCCATTGTGCATCCGCTCACTGACATATGGGATGTTAAACACTGTTCTGAGGATGTTGTTTAGAAATAGGTGCCACTCACCACAGAATAATTTCCGGGGGTGGGGGTGGGGGATGGGGGCAGGTATTTCTGGTGGAATGTCATCTAGTCCAGCCACCTAATCCCAGCTAGGGCAACATCAAAATTAGATCATTTTGCTCAGGCTCTTGCTCAGTGCAGGTTTTGATGTCTTCAAGGAAAACAGACTATCTAACCTCTCCAGGCTTCTGTTCCACTGCTTGCTTATTGACATGGTGATTTCCCCCACCACTACCCTTATATTCAACCGCAGTCTCCCTCACTGCAATCTGTGATGGTTGCCTCTCATACTCTTGCTGACCTGCTCTGAGAAGTCTCTTAGATTTGTTCTTACAGGCACAGATACAGGTACGCAACTTACTGCTGACCTCATTTTTACCACATCAACCATACCTAAACCAATAAATATCTACTCCTTCTTACCACATCTGGTGGATTTTAATCAGGGTTTATAGTGCATTGTATGATATTTGTAAAGGACAAGATGCTCAGTAAGTACAGGTGACCCTTTCAAATACCCTTATGCCTCTGAACCTGCTGGGACTTTTCACACACTCTGTGGGAGCTGATGATTTGGAAACAAAGAAATCCATACATAAACATGATCCTGCAGTCTCACAAGAAATAAGGTTTGCTTATCTACAGAAAATCAAAAGGGCATCATGTTTTATTTATGATTCCATTGCGGAGAAATAATCTAGCCTCACAGTCAGAACTCCACAGGCACATTGCATGAGTTGTATCTTAAGAGGAACATAAGCTTGTCATCAATCATCTAATTCCCACCATCTGGAAAACTTAAACAGCACACCCCATATCACTTTTAATTGTGCTGCACATCACTAAGTTAGTAACCTTCACTTACAACTATCAACTCAAGTGACTAAAGATCCATAAATAATAGGAATTTAGTATCACAAATTTAATATCAAGAGAAGGTATTTTCTTTAGAAAATCTCTTCTACCTAATCTGAAGCTTATCCAAGCTAGGTCCATATTTATGCCTATGACAGGAAACTATCTCCCAAATTTAATTTAAGCCACCAAATAATAGCTCAGATTAATTTTCCCACTTGTGATCTAGTTCTAGCTCATGCTTCCTTGTTGATTTTCAAGTTTCCAAATTCTCATCCCCTTCTTCCAAAGTAAGTAACCATTGCATAACCATCACCACTTGAAATTTATTTTTCCTATTTATTTTTTTCCTTTGCAAAGTCAAATTTTATCTCTGATCTCATTTCTACCTAAAACTCTGTGTTTCCACATTCCTCCAGGAAAATGAGCTGATCAAATCCTTGCTCAAGAACAGGTTTTGCTAAGCCACTAAGCTCCTGTTTGTATTTTTAACAGCTCACCTCTTTGCAGATTCGGAATGTAACTGATTTTTTTTAAAGCTCCTATAAGACAAATTCCTCCTTTGGTTCACAGTCTGGTTTCTTCTATCTTTTTATTCCAATAGCCCTGGATGAGTCTTAGCAGCTGCTTGTTTATAATAATTCTTATAATGTGTCATTTGTGATGTAGGCCCTTCCTGCAGAGTCCATCTGGTAGGACTGTTCTCTAAATAAATATCCCAAGAGCTATCTTAGTTGTCCAAAATGATGCTACACAGTTCTCTCCCTGATAATAGCTATCCCTATTTTTGTATCATGCTATATTCACCTCAGATGTATTTTGGAGCAAGCTGAGAAGCTATAAAATAACTGCAGCACCAGCTGCTGTCACAACATAGGCGGCTAACATTATATGTTGGAAATATTTTTCCAGTAGGAAGGCTTGTTTCAGCCACAGAGCAGCCTCACTAATTTCAATACTTACACATTCAAAGCTCTAGTGTTTTTACTACCAGCAAAGACTAAATTGTGGATTTTACAGCTGGAAAAGTAGGGCTTTATAAATGCAGATGCTTACTGTGGCAGCCTTTTCTAACTGCGATTTGATTTCTCCTAAAATTCATGGAGAAACAAATACACTCTACCTTATATACCCCTCATATATACCTCTACTTCATATACACCTCTACCTACTACACACCTCATTTACCCTACCTACTAGCACTCCAGCATTTGGCATGGATGTAGTTTTGTGTGTTTTGTGTGAGAATCAGCTTTAAAACCACATAGAGTGAAATGGCTTAGGGACAAACCACATTGGCACAGTATTATAAATGTTGCATATGAGGTATCCAAACTTGCTATCTTCCACATAAAAACTGCAGCACCACGGTTGTCAGTTTGTCATTTCTTGGGTTCAGCTATCAGTACTTTAATTAGAAACTCTTACATGTTAGGTAGAGAAAATCCCATGTATCAAGATTTCTGTTTGCACAAAAATAGCAATACAGGCAGCTTTAACTATTGC